AGGTAGAGGAAGAGAGGAAAGAGCACGGCACTCACCTCCCGGCCCAACGGCACCTCCGCCTCTGACACACACACACACACACACACACACACACACAGAGGTGTGAACCTCCAGCATTAACACAACCATCCGCTGCTAATGGCGGTATTTCTGCTCTCCCCAGCCTCCATTCTGTGATGCTCTCAGTCTCTCAGCTTTGTACCAATGAAGAGTCTGAGAGCTTTTCTAAAGATCACAATCTGCTGAATTTAACGATCTCACGACTGACTTGTGTGACACACACCAGCTTTGTGGTTTAAGCCAGGCCTGCAGAGCCAAACCACTCTGACAGCTGAATTTCCTGTCTTTGTGTGTGTGTGTGACTCACCCAACAGAAAGCTGCGTAACCTGGAGAACTGAGTCTCGTACTGCTGAGGGTCTGACTGGCACGGAGCTGCAGAAACCACGTTCCCGCAGCTCGACTCTGTCTGAACTGGAGAGAGAAAAAGAGAAATGATTTATTCAACATGCACAAAATTATTATTTCAATTTATATTAAATTAATTTTAAAAAGGTCAAATTTCCTTCACGTTCCATTCAGAAGTATAGTAAGATATAGTAAAGTAAAGTGTGACCAAACACACATCTGATATGATGACAAGAGTTTTTATTTATTTTCTATAAAAAGTCTCTGTATCAGGTATTACGCTACAACCCTCCGATGATGTATACAGATAAGATTTCCTAAAGGTGTTTATTTACTCTCTAGTATTTTGCGATGGCATCTGCCTGGGGTTTGTCCTGTGTCTTAACTAGTCTACAAAATGGACAGAGATCGAGTTGATGCAGTGTGTTTGGACCATGCTGGGAGTCAGAAACCCAATTCCGGAGGAATCAGACCCGGTTCGATGAACACAGTTACACCGCAGCAGTACCCATGAGGTTGGCTGCCATCTCCTCGGCAGACTGAGACAGCTTGGCCGCTTTCAGCGAACCGTCCACATCCGCATACTGCCGTCTCTTCAGGTACTGCGCCACGGTGTGCTGGATCTGCTCCGTCCGGCCACGCTTCATCACCTGAAGAAATAAAATTTAAAAAAAATCACACTCACTTCTTCATCTGGCAAACTGCAGAGAGCCACAGCGGCCTAGTGAATGTCAGCTTTATTAATCAGGATGCTCATGGTGTTTTCTCTATACTGTTATTTACATTTTAAACCACTTCCACTTACTTAAAACATTATTCCAGTACATTAATCATTATATCCCTTACACATCATGCAGAATATTTATTATTTATGTTCACCCAGAAGAGCATTTGACACACTTTCTTAGTGTTTCGATTCAATTCAATGAATCAATGAATCAATTCCAACGTTATGCATTTTGTTCTTAGTTAAACTAGAGCTCAGAGGGCAGAAACCAAACACTAACTAGAATATATAAAAAAGTGAGGTGTTCAAAATATAGCTCACTAATACAAGCAAAATTAATACATACATTACACGAATAACAAATACAAAAAAAAAACCCACAACATTTGGAGCTAATACACTGTCGTGGTCCGTATCCCAAATTAGCCTCTAATATACATAAACCGCACTAGGTAGTGTACAGGAGCCCGTTCTATCATCCCCTAAGTAGTGCGCTGAAACAGGAAGCACAGAGCTGTTTTGTTATTCGGCCCCATTATACGCGAGCTAGTCATTCACCTAGACGCTCGCGACGTCACTTTCTAAAGACGTTTCTTGAGTTAGTTACTATTTGAAGTGAGATGTTTGTTAGAGACCTGGATACTCACTCTGTAA